GGAGGGAAGAGAGTGAGCGAGGTGGAGCAGGTGGTATGCATGGGGTAGTTGGGGTTGCACACGACATGCGGCGCCCCTGCCTGGGGACGTCGGGTGGCGGCTGGTGTCCGCCAGGGTCAGACAGCGGCGCGACTAGTGGCGCCTGGACGGCACGGAGCCCGCCCCCCCCCATCCCAGCCCACCTGTCTCTGGATCACAGCCATGGCGCGCTCCAGCTCCTCCGCTGCAATGGCCGCCGCGGTCGCCGACGCCATCGTCGCCGCCGCCGCGCGCGCCTTGGTCACGCGCTTGCGCACGCCGAGTGACGGGACTGGCGCCGCGCCACCGGGGGCGCCCGGGCGGGGGCCGCGCAGGCGTGAGAAGACGGGCTGCGCCTCAAAGACTGGGAGCAGGCGCTCAGCGCGCTCCACCCCGAAGTTGAGCTTGTCCTGCGTCGCGTAAGACGGGCCCAGCAGCAGCAGCGCCGCGCAGTCGTACGCCTGCGCCGCGTCCTCCTCAGCCGGGAACCTGGGAGCGAGCGCGAGGCCCAGATGTATGGGGATGGGGGGGGGGCAGGGGGTTGGGAAAGGGAGAGGGAAGGGTGGGTTGGTGCTGTTGTGGTGGCTGTGCGTCCTAGGCCGGGCCTGCGCACGCAGTGTCCTAGGCCGGGAGACCGCCGGCGGCCGCCGCCGCACCACGGCGCGCACTCGCGCAACGCACACCTGCCAATGTGGCGCTGCTTGCCGGCATTGCGGTCGTAAATCCTGGCGCGCCAGGTCTTCTCCTTGTCGTCCCAGGTCACGCCCCTGTGCAAGGGCGCGAGCGCGCGCGCATCGGGGCGATTGGCGCCTCGCATGGTCAGCTGGCGGTCAGCCCAGGCGCGTCACCGCGTGGCCGCGCCTGGCGAGCAGGGATCCCATGTCCTTCTCCAACGTGGTCGCACTCGCCAGCGTCCCCAGCACATGGATGTGGGAAGGCCCCGAGCGCCAGGCCACGCTGGCCCAACATGGTCGAGTGAGGTCCCCTCATGTGAGAGCTCTCCCCTTGAGGGTCAAGGGCACCACGCACGCACCTATAGTTGGACCGGGGAAGCTCTTTTCTGGCCCCGTTGGCCCACCCTTGAGCCTCAGGACCCCCTGCTGCTCCCCCGTGCGAGTCCTTGTCCCCCTCAGGGATTTCTACGTCCATTCCGGTTTTACTCTATACGCACGCGCCTCCAGGCACCACTCCGTGTGGTCGCAACAGGGCGGGGCAAGCCTTGCTCGTCCTTCTTGTAGATCGGAGGAGCGCCGGTGCGATGGCATGGAAATTCATCAACGAAACTGCTGGAATTTGATGTCATGCAGCGGGTCAACCCAGAGGCAACAGTCGTGCAACATTCGTCGGAACACCCCAACGCTAGGATGATGCCCGGGAAAGACCACGAGCCCTGAGTTCCACATTTACGCTTACGTGGTGCCTGGTAGACAGTGAGGTACGGCTGGGGGCAGGACTGTGGCCCGTACAGGCACGGCCGCCATGCGGGCTTCAAGGCGCGCGAGTCAGGGTACCGGTGGCCGGCCACCATCAGCGATGCCGATGCGCCACGGCCGGCCAGCAAGTCATGCAGCGGAAAACCAGAGCCACCGCATGCTCTTTGACGTGCCTGTGAGCGCACATGGGCTGCGCACACCCTGCTTCCACAGTCGACCGCAAAAACATCTTGCCAAGCTACCAAACCTCGACCGAGGCGACGGCCCCGCTGCCCACAGACTAGAACGGTAGCGTTGCTTACACTGCTGCCCCCACCGGTCCCGCAGCAGCACCACCAACAGCAGCCGTGTTGATGGCGCCCTGGATCTTGGCGGCCCCCAGGCACGTGCCGCCCTGGTACAGCACGGCGTACTGCCCCGCCGCCAGGCCCTGGTCACGCTCCTCTAGCAGGAACAGGCCGTGCTGCTCACCGCCCGGGCCGGCGCCGCCGACGCCGCTGCCACACGTGACGTCCTCTTCCCGCAGCTGCCGTGCCTCCCCGCCCTCGCCGCCCTCGCTGCCGGCCAGCGCGGCCATGCGCGCGGCCCACGCCTCGACCGCGGCCGCGGGGCCGAGCAGCACGCGGCAGCGCGCGGTGGCGGGGCCGTGGCGAACCTTGACCAGCAGCGGGGGCGCCCCGGGGGACACGTCCGGCCGCTCGGGGCCGAGCCAGTTGAAGGGTCCCGCTGTGAACGCGTCGCGCCGCTTGCCTTGCTCGTGGTACCTGCGACTGATGCTGACCGTGTTGAGCCGCATGTCCTTGGCCACCACATACCTGGCGGGGCACAGGCGTGATTGGGGTTTGAGGGGTTGAGGGGGTGATTGAGCGTGCAGATGGCGGGGAAGCGTGGGTGAGGGGAGCGGGGTGACGAGTGCTGCTGGTGCCGAGACCGCCCAGCGCATGCGGCCTGGAACGAGAAGGCTTGAACAGGCAAGCTCGAGGACGCGGTATCACGCCACCCTTGCACCAAGGTCCGGGCCCATCCAACCTCAACATGGGTGACGGGCCACCCCTGATCCCCCCTCCTCGCCGTGACTAAGCACTCCAACAGAGCACCCCCTGCCAAGCCTCTCTCCCCACCCGGCTCACCAGGGCCCTCCCGGCAGCTTGATGCCGCCGCGCTGCCCCACAGTGTAGAACCAGTAGCCCTCGTGCAGCCCCACCACTGCGCCGTTCTCCGCCTCCACCAGCGGGCCCGGCCAGGTGCCCAGGTGCTCGCGCACAAATTCACCAAACCGCACCTTGCCCAGGAAGCAGATGCCCTGGGAGTCCTTGCGGCCGCTGGTGGCCAGGCCCGCCGCCGCAGCGAGGGAGCGCACCTGCGCCAGAACACAGATGTGTGCGGGTGGGCAGGTGGGCGGGCATGCAGGTGGGCGGGTGGGCAGTTTGAGGGGGGGGGAGGACCTGCCGAGTACGAGGGAGAGCGCACGAGCGACCATGTCCACTGCAGTTCAGCCTCTGCATGGCGGTCTGCAGGCAGCAGCTGGCGCACGAAGCACAACAACTTTACTCGTGTCAGTTTAGTCAAAAAACAATCCCTGCTTTTTTGCAGCGGCTTCTCAACAGGCTGCAGCTGTGTGAGCGCCGCACCTGTGGCTTGGTCAGGCAGCCAAGGGGGAACATGGCTCGCGCGAGCTGCTGCGAAGAGAGCTGCGCCAAAAAGTAGGTCTGGTCCTTCACAGCGTCGGGTGTGAGAGCCAAGCGCACCTCGGAGCTGCCGGTGCCGCTGCTGCTGCTGCTGCCGCTGTTACTGTGGGTTTCTACCTGCCGATGAAGCCCCGCTTGTGGCCGCACAAGGCGTGCGTAGTGGCCAGACGCGACGCGGTCAAAGCGCTCCGGCTGGTGCTCGTCCAGCCATTCGAAGAATGCACCGAACTTCACCCTGCAAAGTTGGCAGGCGGTGTTCCGGTCCACAATGCCACTCTCACACCGTGTTCAAAGCAACGTGATGTCGTGCGTGACCCCCAGAGGAGGATGTGCCAAAGGAGGCCGTGACTGATACCAACCCCCATTTGCCCTGCTTGCGCGTTCAATCCACGGAGCGTGCCCACCTTGAGTTGCAGAGCATGTCGGGGTTGGGGGTGCGGCCCGCCTTGATTTCCGCCACAGAGTGCGCCACCACACGGTCCCAGTACTGATCTGTCATGGGCACCACCTCCAGGGGCACGCCCGCTGACTCACACACCTGGCGGCGGCAGCATGTGTTGGGCGCAGTGCACAAATGCTTCGGGCGCTTGGAGGCAATTGCACCGCCCTGCCACGTTCATCCACCCGCTGCAACACGAGCCCCCTTGTTGTGCCCGCAACTCCCGCGACCGCCCCCAACCAGCCGCTTCGGATGGCACCAGCCGCCACAAGCACGCCGTGATGAGAACATCGATCCGCCGTCCAGCCTCCCCCGCAGCGGGGCTCTTCCGGCGGTGAGGCCCACCTGCCGCGCGTAGGCCAGGTCCTCCTCCCAGGGGCACGCGTCCCAAAAGTTCCTGAAGTCCTCCTGGAACCAGATCTGGAGGTAGAACCCGACAGCCTCGTGGCCGGCGGCACGCACCAGGGACAGCGCCACGCTGCTGTCAACGCCGCCGCTGACGAGGACCGCGACGCGCAGCCGGCGGCCGGGCTCGCACCTGCATAAAGGTGCGTGGGCGCTCCGTTAACAAGCGCATTGCCAAGTTAGCGGGTGGCGGCACGTGCAAGCTGCGGCTCACGCGCTGCAATAGCTCGCAACTGCGGCCTTTGGGCGTTTGCACGGGTGCCACAGAGTGCCAGTGCGCCGCGCGCCACCCATGTTGTGGGTGGTCTGTTTGCACTGGTGCTCACCCCCTGGTTTCCCTCATCACTCACCCGGCCATCAACGCCGGATCAGAGCCCCATTCTGCAACAGGTGGCACTGGGGGCAGCGCCTCGCCCGCCGCTGCACCGTCGTCCACCCTCAACTCTGGGCCGTCTGGCACGTGCAGCCGCTTAATCTCCAGGCCCGCCAGACCCGGGCCGGGCGCTGAGGGCGGCGAACGGGTGGCGCCGCAGCGATGCAACCGCGCGTGTCGCAGCCGGCCAACGCCACTTTTTGTGAAGGGCCTGCTGCTGCTGCTGTTGCTGCTGCTGCTGCTGCCGCAGCTGCTCGTGCTGCGACTGCTCACAGCAATGCTTGCACTGCTGCGGGGATGCGAGGCTGCCACCGTGGCCTGAAGATTTGAATTACATGATGCGTGATGGCCGCGTTGCGCCACTGGCATTGCTGCTGCCGCTGCCACTGCTGGCGTGCATACTGGTCGTGCTGCTGCTGCTCGTGCCGACCGAGCCGACGCGGTGCATCGGCATGGCCGAGAGCGCAGAGCACCGAGACGCTGATAATCTGGATGATGCACTATTTGTTGGCCGAGCGCACCTATCATTTAGTTGCATGCGGGTGTGTCGAAGCTCGAGGTACTGTAGGGAAAAAAATGCGAAAGCAGAATCCTGGAATGGTAGTGCTCTTTTGAAATATGCACTTTCTTACAGCATCGTCGTGCTTTTTTGCACCTAAGCTTTCAGCCCCTTGCTCACAGGTGGGTGGGAGGGCAGTGGTCGCGCACGTGAGAGCTCCACTAACTATTGCCGCGCCTCCCTGCGATGCGCACTCTGTCAGGACCCTTCACTTGCATCGTTCAGCGGCCGACCACAAAATTTCCAAGGGCAACGACAGCAACCGGGGGCCCCCCCCAAATCTCATACGTGCACGATCTCCGTCCCTGCGGCCAGCATCTCGTAGGTCACAACACGATGCAGTGTCTGGACTCCCTCAAGCGAGCCCGGGTGGGCCCAGCGGCCTCTGCGCCGTTGCGTCGGGCCGCGATGCCTCGCACGTTGCAGTGCAGGTGAACAGCAGCGACGCGCGGCCGTGCGGAAAGTGTGCTCGCATGCCGGAGCGGCCAAGCGCCTGGAAGCCCCGTTGTGGAGTCTGCTGGTCGCCATTGGTGGATGTGGTGTGTGCTGTGGGTGTTGCTCTCCGCGGTGCAACCTGTCGATGTTGCACGAGCAGAGAGTCGCTGCGGCCCGGCGCGCGACACTGCACGCCCAACCCCATTGCTTGCCGCTATGACTGTCTCTGCACCGGTGTTCGCCAAACCCTGCCGCCCTCGCTCCCTCTCTCCTCCTCTCTCGTACCCTCTCCCAGGCCGCCCCACGCCGCCGCGACCCTGGGGCCGCGCACCAAGGCGGAGGGCGGCGTGTTTGTGCGGATGGAGGGGCAGCCGCTGCTTGAGCTGGCTGAGGGGCACCGCGCGGTGCCGCTGCTGTCGCCGGAGAAAGACCGCGTGCCCTTTGCCGCGGCGCTCCGCATCATCCAGCCGGGCGCCGCGCCCGCGCAGGTGCGCGCGACACTGGGGGCTGGGAGCGCGTGTCTGGGTTTCCACCATGTTCCACACACCGCTCAGTTTGGGCTCCCTCGTGCCACCGTGCCGCCTACCGCGCGCCCGGGTGCGACCCTGCGCTGCCCGGGGCGCCAGTGGCGCCCGCTTTTGGCGCCACGCAAGCCCGTCCTTGCGGCTGTGTGCCACCCCGCATAAAGCTGGTAACCACGACCCACTAATGCCCTCCTTGCCCCGCTCACATGCGTACCCAATCACGCGCGCGCGCGCACACACACACACACACACACACACACACACACACACAAACACCAGGCCGTGGGTGCAGGCCCGGAGCCCCACGACACGCTCGAGCTGCACTACACGCTGTGCGGCGCGGGCTCCCTCCTGGGAGCCAACGGCACCGCGCAGCCCGTGGGCCCCGGCGACAGCATCATCTCCGCGCAGGGCGCCGCGCTGTTCACCGTCCCCGCGGGCGCCGCCGACGCTGGGGGCGTGCCCGCGCCGCTGGTGATGCTGCAGGTGCTGCTGCCGGGCAAGCTGCTGCGCGACGCCGCCGGCGGCCTGGGCACCGCCCACACCGACCCCGCGGACCTCCTGATCCGCCCCGAGTGGTCGTGCCCCACCGTCCTCAAGGCGGGCCGCGTGTCGCAGGAGCTCATGTGCTCCCTGCTGTCGCGCGACATGGAGCTCACCCAGGGGGACGGCCACGGCGGCGACGCCGCAGCGCCCGGCCCCGGCGACGGCGAGAGCGCCGCCCCCTCCGGCTCCTCCGACCCCGCCGCCCCCGCGGCCGACGTGACGCTGGAGCCGCTGGCCGGCAGCCGGCCGCTCCACAAGCGCTCCCTCTCCGGCGTGCGCGCGTGGCAGCTGCCCAACGCGACCAACCAGCTGGCGCTCGTGTTTGGCCCTCACCTGGACCCGGAGCTGTCGATGACGTTTGGGGTCGAGATGTTTGAGCCCGGCCACAGGACCACGCGCCACATCCACACCTCCGCGTACGAGATGTTTGTGGTGCTGGGGGGCCAGGGCGTGGGCATCTCCAACGGCGAAGAGGTGCCCATCAGGGCGGGCGACGTGGCGGTGTTCCCGCCCTACGTGGTGCACGCCATCGACAACACCTCGGACAGGAGGCTGTACTGCCTGCAGGTAGGCGGGCTGCGGCGCGCGGAGGAGGGGGGGGGGGGCGCGGATGGGGGGCGAAGTGGCCTTGAGGCTGAACGTGCTTACGTGGGTGTGTTTGAGGGCGCGTGTTAGGCGGTTGTGCGCGCACACGAGTGTGGATGTGCGCCTGCAAGGTGGGAGGGAGGATGGTGGCTAAGAGCGTGCCCACATGTGTGCCGAAAGCATGCATGCAACGGTCAAGAACCCAGAGACTCTGTTGGTCTTATTCAGCTGTGCCTGCTAGTTTGCCCAGCAGGTCACCTAACACCTTGGGCGCCCCTCAACATTGCCGTATTTCCCCCTATTCCTACCTGCCCGCCCAGATGATGCTGCCCAATGACATGTTTGCCGAGTTTGTGACCAGCGGCTCCCTGCTGGACCCGCTGGACTCTGCAGACATGGGCCACATCATCTCTGGCAGCTGCTGAGCACCAGCATCGCACTGGGCACAGCCCCGCACCGCGCAGTGGGCTGCAGCACACCAGGGGATGTCAACCCCGGGTGGTGGCTGCCCCCCCTGCGGTGCCGCCCCGCCCCTGTAATGGTGGTGCATGCGCATGCTGCTGGCACGCCCCCCGATGCGCCCGACGACGCAGTCGACGCCACCACTCGCCCCCTTCTGGTTGGCCGTCAACTGTGCAAGCCGCCCAGCGTCGCCGCATGGGCGACCACAGAGCGTGCCGTTGTGTCAGGCGTCATCGTCGGCAGCGCTGGTGTGCACGGCAGCGCACGCCAGCCGGGTGTGTTGACACACCCTCCTTGTGCTCTTTTGTGGGCCCCGCCGGCCGCACCCATTGTATTTGTACCACACCATCCTGGCAGGGCCTCAAGCTGCACGGGCGCCCAGGCCCACCCTACCTCATCATCTCCGTTGAATTCCCCTCCCATCACCCACGTGGGACCACGGCCGTCGGCCTGCCGTACAGTCCCACCCGCCGTCTAGCCTGTCTGCGCCCAGGTTGCGGCAGAGTGGGCACCAATCGGTGCAGCCGCCTCGCCTCATCCCGCCCTTTCTCCTCCACAGGCAGCACAGCCGCAGGCGCTAAGCAGTTGCAGCGCTGCGCCCACTTCCCTTGTCGACTGCGTGCAATCTGGGCTGGCAGGCCGGCCCCGCCTTGTGTATCGCATTGGCGCATTCTTTTTTGGGTCCGCCGTGCCTGGTCTCGTGCTCTAGCCCTCCTCCCCCCCCACTGAAGTTCGCGCGTACCTCGTTGAGGGGGTGCGCAGCATCTCTAGGGCGCTGTGCGGCGTCCCATTGATCCTCTGCGTACCAGCTTTGCCTTGACCTTTGGGTGCGGTAGTGGTCGTGCTTGCGGCAGCGCTCCGTCGGCAAGCACACCAGTCACATCCACTTGCCAAGCGTTTTGCTCTCTCAAACCGCTTTTTGCGTATGGCAAACGTGCGTCTTTGTAAGGGAGGATTTGTTCCCCCGCCCCCCCCCCCCCAGTCTGCTGCGCAGTTGCCAACAAACCCCACACCAAAGCGCGTTGTTCGCGGGCGATGTCCATCCCGCGGGCCAACGCAGCTGCAACCAAGCGTGGAGGCGTGTGCGCATGCGGCCCGCCCATGTGTCTGCCAGCCGCGTCGACGTGGTGCAAGGCGTTGACAATGATTTGTAACACTCAGGTATCTCAGTCCCTGCGGATGATGTCAGTGAAACCAGGAACCTCGCACCAGGCGGGCAAGGGATGGCGTGCCCAGCACCCAGCCCTGTACAGCGACTGCAAGCCTGAACACAGTGACCATGACCCGACGGCCGTTGTGACACCTTCTTGTGTACCAACGGCTTCAGAAAGCTGGACAGCAAGAGCACCAGCATGATTCTATGCACCTCTTGTGCCCTGGACTAACTTGATGTTAAAATCTGGTCGTGGGCTCACTGAAATTAACGCATCTTGTTCTGGCACTTACAGATGGGATTGGGGGTGGGATACATTTCAGTCTGAAATCATTTTGCCTGAGTTGTCGCAAAGGGTGAACGTGTATTTGATATTCCAGTGGTTCACCACGACGGTGTCAGTGATCTGGGGCAAGTGCAGTACAGCTGTCAATCTTTGAGGCGGCAGAAAATGCAAGCGTTTAGTGTGCAAAGTAGCTTGCGTGTTTGTATATCCCAAAGCAAGGGACAGCAATCAAGCGGTGGAGTGTCTACCACCCATCGGCAACAAGAATAGCCGCGTCCGCACGCTTCACACATGCAGTGTGGTCGACGTTGCTGGTTCCATTGACACAGGCTACACAGAACATGCCGCCATGGTGGCCCCCATGCAACAGGTTGCGGTGGCCCCCGTGGATGGCCGGGCGAGGGGCGAGGGGCCCAGAAACATAGCCATCGGCGCACGCCCTGCGCAGATGGCGCCACGGCGGGTTTGCTGTGAGGAATGTGCTTTTGTGTCAGCCGGACACGTCATCAGGATGGGTGTGAGGAGGCAAGGCAGCAGGGAGTGATCCAGCAGGCAAGGTGTTCCATTATTGGGAAATACCGCGAGCACTTACTGGCATGTGGGAGGGGTGGTCGGTGGGGCGCTGCCAGGCACAGGTGCGGGGAAGCCATACCCATCCATGCACACTGCACAGAGATGGTGCCACCAGGTGGAGGGGGGGGGGGCGGGGTCCGGAGGTTCAGGTCTCAGGCGGATGTCGCAACCCACTGCCTATCAATCAAGGTGTGGACTACGCAGGTTGCTGGTTGCGCCACGTCCATGCGGTGCTGGAGCCAAGCAAGCCATCCACTGCTCCGGAGCTGTCCGAGAGGCAGCGAACAAGACGCCTTTGGTTTTCTAGGAACCACGACATGCACGCAGGAAATGGCCCGGCTGTTGACGCGTAAGGTGCTCCAGGCCTGCCAGCTGCGCGTGCTGTAGATGCGCAATAGAAGGTGGCGGTATCCCTGGCGACACTCACCGCACACGCCCTTTTGGGCATCCAGCTTGTAACCGGCGGTGTCGCAGGCGGTGCATGTGATGCGCGTGAAGTTGGGGGCAAAGGTGGGGCCACTGAAGTTGCCAAAGCTGTCGCGGTGGCCGCGTATCTTGGAGGTGCGGCCACTGGAGCTCCTGGGACTGCTCAAGCTGCTGGGTCCGTCAACGTCATCAGAGCCGTCGGAGCCGTCAGGGCCATCGGAGCCCTCGAGGGCGTCAGGGCCGCCCCTGGAGCCCTCCCCGGAGCTGGGCTGCAGCAGGCGGCGGAGGCCGTGGAACGACTTGTGAATTTGGTGTGAGGCAGCACCCGGGGCAGTGATGTTGGGTATGAAGTCGGTGCAGGCGGTGCAGCCGGGCATCACGGTGCAGTCGGTGGCAGACGCAGTGGCGGCGAGCGCCACCGCCGCCAACAGGACCAGGATGACGCTGCGCATGGTCGTGTGCTGTTGAAGGGCCTGCGGGCGCCAGGCACGGAAGGGATTGATTACGAACGCCCTGAAATGTTTCTACAGGGCCCGTGCGGCATCTGGCATCCTCATGCACATGAGCAATGCACAAGCACGCAGTCCCTGCTGGCAGACCAGCACGAGGAATGGCGGATGAGCCCATTGGTATGCTCAACTTTATACTCTTGTGAGTTATGTGGAAGCTGTGTACTGGAGCATTATGGCCTTGTGTGCTGTAAAAGAGCGGGCTGAAGTACGATTCGACAGACATGAAGTCTTAGCGCTCCACCCAGGCCGGAACCGTGATCGTCATGCCCCCTCCGAATCGACAACACGACCTTCTCCGGTAACCAACAAGAAGTTCAAGGGCGAAGCATTCCTGTGCACCCAGCTCCTCACTCGCCTAGGCAGCGTTGGTGGCGGGTGCCAACGGTGGCCAGTTGAGCGGGGCCTGCCCAGCGTCAGCTGTAGCCCAAACCCGGCCGCGACTTGACGCAACCAAGCCCGTGGGGCAACCTACTCCATCAGCACGCCTGCAGCGCCACCACAATGCTGAAGGCAACCTTATGCATTTTTTGGGGTGCATTCTGGAGCCTGGATCACACACACAACAGTACGCACGCGTCCGCGCTGACCTTGGGCTCTTGGCGACCCGCAGCAGTACGCCCAGGAGCTTCCGAGGCACGTCGGACCGCTGTCCGTACGTTGCATTTGCGCATCTCACAATGATCTCACCCAGAAGCACCTGCGCAAACACAGTGCACCCTCCCCTGACCCCCCAGAATGCAACTCATGCCGGCTGAAACACAGCCCACATACCGCTCCTCCCCCGGAGGTACAGGAAGTCTTGCTGCACGTTACACGCTACTCCAGCTGCGACCAAATCAGCACTGATGTGAAATAATGATGACAATCAACAGGTCTTGATGCACACCATGTTGAGCCCAGGCGTGAACTCAACAAGAACACTCAGGTCAAACACCATCACATGCCCGTCTTACATACAGAAAAGGCTCGCGCCCCCAACAGGCTAATCACTTGAAGCAATCAAAAAATATCAGGGGGTGCAGTTGTGTGCATCGCGTCTGGCTGCAGCAGTAACATGCCTTGAGAAGGCCACCTATCAATTATTGGGGGATGCAGTGCCGCCTCCTTGCCGCGCCCTGGCCCGCAGCAGGACTCACTGCAAGTGCCTATCGCACTGCCCCAGTCTTCAGCTTTGGGTGGTACGCCTCCTCCAAGTCCCGCGGGCGCTGCGCCTCTTCACTGATGGCGTACCTGCAACCAAAAACACACACGCATGTGTGAGTGCGCATGTGCTCGTGTGGGTGGGCACGTGCGCGTGAGAAGGGAAAGCCGTGCAAACGTGCATGTGTGTGTCAACCCCTACACACCACCCACGCACGTGTCTGGATGGAAGTGGGAGACCTCAACACGGCTGTGTTCAGAAGGCTGGGCACGGCGGGCCCGGTGGCCGCGCACAGAGGCCATTGGATGGCGGCCCCAGAAGGCGCGGTGCGAGCGGCATGTAGCCGGGGGAGCTTTCCCTGGCATCTCCCTCACACCCCAAAACAGCGGTTGCGCATGAAGACCAGTCGGTGTCCTCTGCAGGGGCGCTTGCCTGTACAGCTTCTCGTTAAACTGGCCCTCAGTCCCAGGTTTCCCAAGCAGGTGCTGCAGGGCCCACTGGCTGTAGCGCTTGGTGTAGGGGTCCGCCACGTGCCAGCTGGACTTGACAAACACCTGGGGTCGGCGGGGTGTTGCGTGGAGGGGAGCGGGAGGAGCATGTATTGAGGGTTGAGGCACGGTGGTGGCGCGAGGCTGTCGCGGGGGTGTGGGCTGACTACCCCGTCAGGTCGGGCGCGGCCTTCACGGACCGACGCCCCCTATCAGACTGCACTTAGAGATGTGCATCGCCGCCCTGCAATGCAACTGTCCTGCCGCACGTCCCCACCCTCTCTCTGTGGCCACCCTACCCCCCCAGGGGGCCGCCCCCCCACCGTCTCGTAGGGGTGGAACGAGATGCCGCCGTACGTCCCTGCCCTGGAGGGGTGCACGTTGTCGTTGCAGCCCCAGTTGGCCTCGTCACGCCAGTCAGTGCCGGGTGCGTACCTTTGGGGGCGGGGGGAGGGCGGCGTGGGAAGGGGTCACGATGCGCATGTCTGGGCTGAGACAGAGCGCATTGCCTTTGTCAGCGCGGCCTGGCGCCCCCCTCCTCACGATTACTTGCACAAAAGCAACGAGAAGGACCGCGTTGCCGGTGCAGCTGTTGTTTCACCTGCAACCTGCTGCACCCAGCCTGCATGTCATGCTTTGATCCCTCCCCCCCAACCCCACATGCATTCCCTCCCACCTGGCCATGAGTGTGGCCACGTTGTAGCCCTCCTCAAACTGCGCCTGTGTGAGGCGGTACTCTCCCCCCACCACAATGCCCTGGTCACCATCGGTGCACAGCTTGCAGCTGGCAATGCGCATGAAAGAGGGTGCAGATTGGGTACGTGGTCAGCTGCAGACATTATTTGTATACAAGAGAAACAGCACCCCGCTGTGACGTTCCTAAGGACCCCAAGCAATCCTGTCTACCGCCCCGACGCTCCTCTTGAGGCCACCGTTCGCGAGCTGCTTTGGGGAGCAGGGCGCGGCCCCCTCACGTGCGCGTGACGAACACCCCGGCCTCCAGCGCCGCCCCCAGTCCGTCCTGGTCCAGCGCAAACGCCCATGACTCAAGGCGGGGACCAGGGCCCCCTGCGCGTGGCGGGCAGCACAGAGAACAGGCCGCAGGGTGGGCCGGGTGGGCGCGAGCTGCCCGCTGCTCGGAAGCTGACTTTGCGTGGCGGCTTCCCACACATTGCATTCGGCAGCATGCCACTCCATTTGACCTCCTCTCTGGCTGGTCCGGCCCTGTGTCCCACCCTTGAAATTCCTCACTGCCCACACCTGCGTCCGCCTCTGGCAGGCAGACCAGTGACGAGCCGACCGCATGCACTTCGCGTCCCATGCGTGCCAGGTAGGCGTGGGTCCAGTGCCACCCTGGCGGCACCCAGGGCGGGTAGAAGGGGCCCTTGACGCTGCTGTTCAGGAAGACAAAGTACTTGTAGCGCCTTTGCCAATACAAGGGGGATGCATTCGGAAACGCAGAGGTCATGGTTGTGAGGCGGGAAGATGGCCAGGGCGGGAGGCAGCAGATGGTTTGTGGACATGCTGGTTCACCTCATAAAATTGATTGTCCTGTTGCGTCAGAGTTTGATTGCGTCCGAGCCACGCATCCATCGCACACGCGCCGCAGCTTATCTCCCCCTCTGGTGCCCCCCTCCCCTCCTCCCCACCCCTGCTACCCCGGCGCCCACCCCCCCCCACCCCAGCAGCCGCAGGTAGCTGAAATACTCCAGGGTGGCGTTGTGCGCGCCCAGGTCCATGCCCACGTTGTCACTGCGCAGGATGAGGCTGAATTTTGGGTCATGCCTGGGGAGGAGGGGGAGGTCGGGTTGGGGTGATCGGGTTCAAAAGGGGGTGGGAGTGTTTGATTGTTTTGGAATCGATAAGTTGTGGTGTGGCCGAGCCACGAGGCGGCCTGGTGGCGAGCGCGTCACAGGGGCCTTCAGGCTTGCAGATGGCGCACCGATATCTCACAGCAGCGCGCCGTCCAGGCCGGAGGTGCGGGCGCTCTCAATGTTCAGGGCCACCTGTCAGCTGGCCCTGCCCCCTGTGCCGGGCGGCCCCCCTCCCTCTGCCCCCCCCCCCTGGGTCCTCACCACGCCTCCTTGATGCCCCAATCCCTCAGGTCAGCCGTTTCACGGTTCCTGGGGCCAGGGCGGTCCCACAGTGCAGGGCATACGGCGCGCCTTGAGGACGCATGCATTGGCGTGGCAGCCGGCGACCAGGGAGGGGCACAGCACTATAGCCCGAAGACTCCGACGTGGCAATCGCCACCACCACCACACCCTCTTTTTCTTGGGTGCGGCGGATGCCTGCGACTCCTGCTGTCCCACGGCCTCTGCGCCCACCCAAGATCTCGGGACGCCCCTCACCTGAGGATGCCGTACAGCCCCTGGCAGGGGGAGCAGTTCTCGCCGCTGACAACGATGGCCCAGTGCATGTCAGTGTGCCGCGGTGGGTGCTGCGTCCCCGCCGCAAGGAAAAATTCAAAGTTTGCCACCTGGAACGCAGAGGCAACAAGGTGGAGCAGCGGTTGCCATGGCAATGCAGCAAGCACGTGCGCAGCCTGCAGCAGGATCGCCAACGGTACCTGCCCACGCCACCGTGCAACGCATGGCGGCGACTTGCATCAAAGCCTCGACGCCCTGTACACCTTCAGCTGCACTGCAGCTGCTGCTCGCCCCCCTCCAGAAGCAGCATGCCCAACACACACACACACACACACACACACACACACACACACACAAACTCACGCACACACACACACACACACTCACACATGTGCGTGCATGCAAGCATGTGCAATTGCGATGCCCACACACCCTCCTTCATTTCCCAGCGAGACCCCCCTTGAAGCCGCCAACTGTCCCCCCCAACCGCCCTCACCTGCACAGGATCCTTTTCAAAGTACGAGTAGGATATGAGCACCGGTTCCAGCGCGTACGCCTGGTCCATGGCACTGCCCCCACCGCTGGGCCACAGCTGGTGCATCACGTAGGCCGTCGCCAGCAGCGCCCACAGCGCGCCAAGCACGGCAACGGCGTCAGCAATGATCGCGCCCCGCCGCCCGCCGCCAAACAAGCCGGCAAAGGCGCCGCCTGGACCGCCATGGTGCAACGCCGCAGAGCGCGGCGACATGGGCTGCGGCGAGACGAGCGCCGTCGGCAGGCCGGCTGCATGTCGGGTGTATGCGTTTGGCTTCCGCATGACCGCCTGCCGGTGCACCGCCAGGGGCGGCCCGTGGGCGCCGCTTTCGCCCTCACGATCTCCTTATTTTCTGTCCACCGTGAGGTGTCTATTCGTGTCAATGTTGCCTTGAGCCGCCGTTGCCGGCAGCCAGGTCAGTCGGACACCACCCCGGCTGGGTTGCCAGAGGTGCAGCAGCAGTGAGGGCGCGCCGCACCAACAGCTGCTTCAGAACCCCGCGCATCCGCTGGTGCTGGGCCCACGATGAAAGCAATCAAAGCGCCACTTTCTAACCATTTGCTGCAGGTACAGCTGGAACGAAGAATGCGTTGTGAAATGTACTGTATTGACCTTGTCGCGAACAACTCGACGTGTGGGAACCTCTAGGGTGACTTAGGTTGATCCTTCGCTCTGATGTGATAGATCTAGCTCAGCTCTTGGGCCTAGGGGGACGCCGCACCCATTTCACATGGGCTGGCTGCGGCCGCACCTCGGGCATGCGCAACCTCTGTACAGTCATAGTGATGATGGGTGCAGAGGTGCAAACCCAGCAAGGATCTTTTCCACCAACTGTCTGAAATCGACGTTGATACCATTAGCGCTTCGCTGGACCAGTGTGCGTGGCGTCGCTCTCAGTCGACACCTTGAGCACCCCTCAGCAACCCCTGCTTGAAGACAAGCAGCGGTGATTGTGTGTGCGTGTGTGCGTGTGGTTGGATGAGTGTTGAAGCAGATTTATTGAAACGTGAGCCCTGTGCAGCACCCCAACACAAGCCAGCTGGCCAGTGGGGCGGGCCAACCATTGCCTCAATCCCATGCACCGGTACCCTGTCTCAACTTGCAGTAGCATTTACTTCAATTACAGTGGGCTGAAAACCAGGAACACCAGCAGAGCACAATATCTAGCGCAAGAGCCGCACAACGGCTAGACTCTGGGGGTTCTCTTACGCAGCCCTGCAGCCTCCGCCGCCCTCAACGCTGCGCTGCATGCACGATGCCGCTTGCCGCCTTGCGCAGCCGGTTCATCACGGCCAGGCCCTCCCCACCCTCCAAGACCCCCTCCACCACGATGGCGTCAACGCCGGCTGCCTCGGCGTCCCGCAGGCCCGCAAACAATCTGCGCGCCACCTCGTCTGGGCGGGACATCGGGCCGAGGCAGTACTGCAGGGCTGGCGCCGCAGCGTCCTCCACGCCCTCAACGCCGTCCTCGCCGCCGCGACCGAGGGCAACGCTGGCAGATGGCAGCCACCCCGGAGCTGTAGCGTCCGGCAGCGTGGTGCGCAGGAGCGCGACGCGCCGCCGGCCCTCGAGCTGCAGCCGTGCCACCGCCTCAAGGGCAGCCGCTGCCACCCCCGCTCCCACCGATGCATCTCCCTCTGGGCCCACTTGCTGCTGCTCTTGATCGTGCTGCTGCTGCTGCTGCTGCTGCTGCTGCTGCTGCTGCTGCTGGGCAGGAGGCTCCACCAAAACGAGGGGGGCGTTGGGGCTGTAGTGGCGGTACTTCATGCCCGGAGTGGTGGGGGCCGCCTCGAGTGCCGCGTCGCTGAACTCCCGGCTGTACACCTGGGGGGGGGGGACAGCAAGGGGTTCCAGACATGGGCGCCCTCGCCCACACCTAACAGGCGCCCGAATCCCCTTCAAACACTGGGCAGGAACTCCAGCTGGGCAGCGCCACAGCAGCGAGCCGAGGGTGCCCGCAGGCAAGCTGCAGACGTAGAACGCAGCCGTCGCGAGTGCGATGCAGCCTACAGCCGACAGCCGTCACTGCGTGCCAGGCCGTCAATCCTCCAAGCACCGTGCCCCCTCTGCCACCTCTTGGACCGCCCTCGCCCTCGCCCTCGCCCCCGCCCGCACCTGCAGCGCCTCCAGCCCCGGCAGCGCCGCCAGCGCCTCGGCCGTCACGCCCCCCGGCCGCAGCACCGCTGGCGGCAACCGCAGCCCGTCCAGCACCGTGCTCTCGACGCCACAGCCGCATGCCCCGCCGTCCAGCACCAGGGGCAGCCGGCCTGAAAGGTCCGCCAGCACGTGGCTCGCCGCGGTGGGCGACGGCCGCCCGCTGCTGTTGGCGCTTGGCGCCGCGAGCGGAACGCCGGCCGCAGCGATTGCGGCGCGCGCGACTGGGTGGGACGGCATGCGGACCGCCATCGTGGGGTGGCCGGCGGTGACCGCCGGCGGGACGAGCGGACTGGCGGGCAGTAGGATGGTTAGCGGGCCGGGCCAGTGCGCGGCGATGGCGGCGCGGTACACTGGCGGGACAGGGTCGTCCTGACCTGCGCGCGGGCGGTGGGAATGGGGCCATCACCCTGACGCCCGCCAGCAGGCAAGAGCAGCGATGGCCGATCACGCGCCTCTGCTGCGCCCCCAAGGCACCCATCCACCATGAGCAGGGCCGCCTCACCTGTAGATGATACCCGGCCGCCCCGCCCGGCCAGGCACCCTGCTTGATGCTGCATACACCATAATCCTCACACCAGGCCCTCAACCCCCCCACCTGGGTAGAGCCCCCTCAGCATGGCCATGTCGCTGACGTGGACGATCAGCGGGTTGTCCGCAGGCCGCCCCTTGGCCGCAAATATGCGCGCCACCGCTGTCGCGTCCAGTGCGCTCGCCGCCAGGCCGTACACCGTCTCTGTCGGCAGCGCCACCAGCTGCCCGCGCCGCAGCAGCTCGCCGGCTTGCTGCAGCGCCGACAGCGCAGCTGCCAGCGCGGCGCCGCCGTTTGAGTCGCAGCTGTCTGTTGCAGCCGCCACTGGCAGTGTGTAGGCGTCGGCATCCAACGCCGCAGGGGCAGCAGTGGAGAGGATTGCGGGGTCGACCGCCAGGACACGGGTTTCACACCCAGTGCTGGGTTGGTGACCGTTGACGTGGCACTTTGCATCTTGGCGGGCCACTAGTTGCTGCTGCGACTCAAGCTGATGGTGGTCATGGCGACGGTGGTGCTGTTGATGGTGTTGACGATCAGGGTCCAAGGGATGGCTGCCGCAGGCCAGCGGCGAGGCGTCCTGCACGTGTGCCACGCTGCCCGCTGCAGCCGACTCTGGGGCGGCACCCGCTGGCGGCACCACCATGGTGGTGGGCGCCTGCGCCACTGATATGCAGACCCGCGCCCCCGGCGGCTGCAGGCGCTGCGGCGACGCCGAGGCGCAGCGTGCGAAAGCCAGCGCGGCGCGACTGGACCAGCAGCGCAGCAGTGTGTCCTTCTGCCAGTGGCGGCTGCGTGGGCCACGCACAACCACACCGCCCCCGCAGAAGGTGAAACGTGTCACACTGCTGTTCACCAGTTACAAACGTGCTGATATGGTCGAAGGAATCAATGTTAGCGACGACCTGCAAACAATGCCCGACGCTGCATGGAGCATTACGGTACAACTCAGAAGTTCTATCAAAGTAGTTATGAAACTACGCTGTCATCACTTTAAATGTCCGAGCCTCTGTTGGTGTGCCCAAGCCATGGCGGCCCCTGCGTATCTGTTGCGAGCCTTGCACAGGCAGCCGCATCCCAAACCGCGCCGTCACGGCCACCGGCCACGCGTCGTCTTGCCGCCTCACCCTGCTATTTTCGTCAGGCTGACCTCAGTGTCTGGTTCGCCTGCCATCAGGAGAATGGTTAAGCAGGGAACCGCCGGGGCTAGTGGTTGGAAGAGCCGGCCCTGTGGCCCTCAAGCTGGAGACACCCGCTGGACAGGATAGCTGTTGGTTGAACGTTCGTCCAGTGCCTGAAAGAACTTGTGCGTCCAAGGCATAGGCTAAAATTCAAGCTCTCAGCAGCATTCAGCAGGGCACGGGCCAGCACTCTGCTAGCTTGATGGCACACACGGAGCCACCAGCACCGCAGCAAGCCTCCCGGTGGTGCCACTCACAGCGGATGGGGGCGCTCAGCCAGGTGGGGCGTTTGCATGAATGTGCTTGGTCCGGCCAGCATGCGCAGGGACAGGAAAAAAACCAAAAGACAACGTCCCGCCGTGTCGCAAGGCGTTGCACCAAATGACTTGCTGGAGTGCTAAGCCCCAGCAGTGGATCTGGATCTACAATATGAGCACAAGCAAGGCGCAAGTCCCCCAAAATGATTCACGATGGTATTGTAGACTGGGTCCCACAAAATCTCCAGGTCTTCAGTACTGCATCCTCATGCTGCTGTCAGCGGTGTCAACAGGGCTGATGGGGCGGGACAATACAAGGGTGTGCACAGGATGAAACGGTGGGGCGGTCAAAGGCAGGGGATGTGGTGACAGCGTAAGTACCACACACGATGTTCCTGATATGGGCACCTGTGCCGCATACCATCGGCCGTGAGCGTTTTGCGCGCCGTTCACTGCGGCAGGAATGGACTGCGCAGGTCACCATCCAGCGTGGACTGCACTCCTGCTGCAGCAGCCGCCCCCGCCCCCGTCTCCTCGTCATCTGGAGAGATCACAAGGCCGCCGCCGCTCGCCTTTGCGGCACCGCCATCGTCACCGCTGCTGCCGCTGCCGCTGCCGCCGTCATCAGGCAGCAGCGGCGTCGCCTCTGCATTGCCGCCGCCCCCTGCGGCGAGGTTCGCTGCCAGCAGGTCTTCCGAGCGCTGGACCTCGTGCCGCCAGTCAAAGCGCGATATGACAGTGGCAAACACCACCGCCTGGAAGGCCGCCGCTGTGGACAGCCCAATCCAGAAGCCAATGATGCCCAGATCCAGCCTGAAGCCCAGGAACATGGACAGCGGCAGCCCCAGGCACCAGTAGCTGAAGAGGGGGGAGGGGGGTGGTGAGTGCCGGGGTGTAGGGGGTGAGCGTCAGTCGCGAGTGGTGGGGCAGTGAGTGCTTCAGTGAAGGGGGGTGAGGGGAGTTGAACGTGTGTGTGTGTGTGTGTGTGTGTGTGTGTGTGTGTGTGTGTGTGTGTGCAAGGTGTGGGGTTCCAGGGTTGAATCGGTGCCCCCATCGCAGCTGCAAGCGGCAGAGACATCCAAGCACAGCAGCTTGTTCAGTACAGTCGGCAGCCAGCTGGTCGTGCTGGCGCAGCCACAGCCCAGCGGCTGCGCAGCAGTGCAGCATGGCAGGTCGGCCACCTCACCCCAGGATGTTGAGGGTGGCGCCGTAGCCCTGGCGCCCCGCAGCCCGCAGCACGTTCCCCAGCACTGCGACACAGCTGTCGCCTGGCGGGTGCGGCAGAGGGTGTTGTACAACGTGGGTGGGTTGCAACAAGGCTCTACAAACATGTCGGTGCAATATCTGGCAGCCATGCGCCGGGTCGACACAGTGTGCCAGCGGGTGGCACGCGGGTGGTTGACGGTCCTGTCACCGCTCCCGGGCCGCGCGCAGCCCTCCCCCAGGGCGCACCCAGCAGCGAGAGGGCCATGAAGGGCAGCGCCCGCGCGGCCAGCGCCACCACTGCGGGCTCCTCCGTAAAGAGGGACACCAGGGGCCGCCGCAGCAGGTAGGTGAGGCAGGCCGCCGCGCCGCCGATGCAGAGCGTTAGCAGCGCCGACACGCGGAACACCAGGCGTGCACCCTCCGCGTTGCCGGCCCCCAGGCTGTTTGCGACACGCGTTGAGGTGGCGCTGCCCAGGGAGCTGGGGGCGGGGGTTGTGTGAGGGAGGGAGAGGGTCATGGCTGGTCAAGGCGAGCCATCACACACAACATTGAATGACGATTGCGCAGCGGAGTTTGCCGCTGGCAAGAGCATGGACGCCCAGCACCACGACTGTGATTGCATCGCTACAGATGAAACCTGTTTTCACGCATCCACCTGGCCGCTTACACGACGATCCAAAGCGCAGAGGGGAGCCAGTCAAGAGCCAGACCCCCCTGCCCTACTCTGGCCCCGCTCCCCTCTTCCCCTG